ACAAGCTTGCGCCGCTTCTCTGGAGGAATGAAAAAGCTGAATAAGTCTACCTGGTACCATTATCTCCAAGTCCAAGCCAAACCCTCGCATCCTACGGGACCTTGAGCTCTGGGCCAAAGTATCCAGCGCTAATATATAAAATCAACAGTCATCCTCGAAGGCCAGGCCCAAAAAGATCTCACCTTCTCCACGGGCCTTTGTGTTGAAAAGGGTTCATACCTTAGTATCTGCGGCGGTGCGATTCTCAAATCAAACGGCCCTCCGCTTTCCACGTCGTCGAACCCGCCTCCAATCGACGAGTTCCACGCTTTTCGCTACGTCACACCTGATAGCGGTATCTCCACCGACGTCTCCACCGCAAACGGAAATTCAAATGCAAATTCTAATCTCGCAACTGCCATTTCCCCCACCAACCTGACTTTCGGGTATGGCAGGATGTCCTGTCCTGGTCGGTACTTTGCTGTGCACTCGATCAAGGCGATTGTGGTCGGGTTGTTGTTACGGTATGATGTTGAGTTTGAGAAGAAGGATGGGGAGGAGCGGGGGAGGCCGCGGAATGTTCAGGCGGGCAATGTTATTATTCCTGATCCGAGTGTGATGGTGAGGGTTCGGGCGAGGGGGTAGGTTGGTGAGGGTTGTATTGAGGTATTTGCGTGGGGAGGTTGAATGTGGGTGGGAATATTGCAATGGCGGGATGATTCTGTGTGTGAGAGGGGGGGAAATGGGGGTGGGTTTGAATAGATAGGTGTGTATGTGTGAGTACTACTCTGCAAAACCTAACCGCCGTCGATCGACATGAGCACATGTGTCAGTATTCCGCCTGGAAGAACAGATACTCGCAAGACTATGGCGTGTGATTGTCTATGACTAGCCTTGTATATTTCAATGCTCATGACATGTCTGCATAGTATACATCTCAAATAGAGTGTCAAGCTGCTTAGCTTGAAACCCACCGCTGCGTGAATAGGTTTCCTCCACCAAGGCCGTATGCCGGTTCACCCAGTCTTTCAATTCTTGATGCTCACCTTCCATCTTGGGGAATGCAGGTGCGCCGTATTCGATCCTGTCATCATGACCTCGCTGCAAGTATTTGGATCGAACGACTAGTACAAACTCATTCTCCTGCTCACTTCCTCCTCCGCTTCTCTTTGCAAGCATAACCACTCTACAGGTCAACCCAACCTCCTTTGACCACTTACGCCACGCACGCTGTAATCCAGTCGCCGTACCAAGCTCAACATACAACGTCCGAAATTCCTCCGCCATCTGCGAATCGCATGAGACCACCAGGTCCACCCGGGGCTGTACCGCTGCGCTCTGACCGTCCTGACCCGACAACGTGCACGCTGTGTACAGAATGTTCTTGGCATCGTTCGTCAACATCCAAGTCGCCGAGCTACTCTGCGCAATATGCTGATACCGCGGATTCCACCAATCTCTACCATCAGGAACCAACCACACCGCCACGTCAATAAACCTGCTACAACTCTCACTTGGGAATTCGGAGCATGGACTTACGACCAGGATGTGCGGTAGGGCCGTACTGCGTTGAAGAAGTCTGCCAGTGTCATGTCGGCTTGCTTGGCTCCTACGTAGACTACGAAGATTGAGTCGGTGGGGGTTTGCCCGTTGGTGCTGGTGGGGCCGAGTGCCATGTCTTCTACTTCGTAGGGAACTAGGGCTGCTCGGGTTTGGAATTCGGTCATGTTGGGTTTTGTGGCCTGGGCGGCGAGTAGGGTCTGCACTTCTCCCGTTAGGGAGGCGGGTATGTGGAAAATGAAACCTGCGGTTGTTATCTTGGCGCTGTTGTTGCGTTGAGTCCGGACGGTACTTACAGAAGGTGGACATGATTGATGTGGCGAGCGAGGAGGGAGAGTCAGACGTGCAGATGATGATGGACTTGTCACGGGTGAGGATCAAGGGCAAGAGTGGGATAAGGCGCTCTGTACATCATTGCTTCACAGGAATCATAGTCTCGGAAAGTATTCAAATACTACGCTTTGATAGAACTCTGTGTTTCTTTACAATTTCACTACATAGCTACTGACGAACGCACATCGGTCACTATATAGGTCGGAGTTCCAAGCAGCTCGGAATGCTGTTGCGAAGGGCCCAGCTCTTGACAACCTCCCAACCACTTTGTTCACATACAGCCTGCCAATTCTCAATATCCCGTTCTTTACCGTTGCAGGTCGCCATCATGATTATATCTCCATACCGGGCTGGTCTTCCCGTCCGCCCATCCTCCAACACTGATTCAATAATGAGCAGCCGAGCCTCGGGCTTGACCACAATCGCCCTTCGGATATTCTGCAGAATCTTAATCGTATCCTCATCGGACCAATTATGCAAGCACCACTTTATAGTATACACCACCGAAGCCGGCACCTCGTCCAGAAAATTCCCCGCATGAAATCCAGCAACCCGATCTCTGACACCACTAAACCGTCCCCCGGGTTGCTCGCACTCTGCCTGTATCCTCGAAATCGTGCTCGGAATGTCCATGAACGCGCCCCGCATCCTCGGATAGTTTTCAAGCAGCTGGAAGAGGAACTCCCCACTCCCCGTGCCCAGATCGAGCACTGTTTCGTCCCCGAGGGTATCCCAGGGGAAATCGGAAATCATGCCGGGTAGCTGCGCGGTTGCACCGGCGCCCAAGACGCGATGGAATTCCTTGGCCAGACCGCTGTTGCTCAGGTACTCGTAGAATTCCATGTCGGTGTTGTAATTTGACTGTGCGGCCGTTCGCGATGCGTTTGCCTTGATGTGGTCGGGCAGAAAGCGCATCATGTCGTAGAACTCTGTGGGGTAGAATTTTGTCCAGTAGACCCATTTGGACCAGTGGGCTGTGGTGATGAGGTCAGAGGTTGCGTTGTTGCTGTACAGCTTGCTGGTTTTGTCGTAGTTGAAGATTCCGATGCCGGTCAGGGTGCGTAGGACTTGTGTGAGACGGTGGGGGGAGAGCTCGCCTTGCGGCGAGGATGAGGCGAGTTGCTCGATTGATTTTGGACCTTGTGAGAGGGCATCGGGTATGCCGAATTCTACGGCGCAGAGTAGTGTTTTGCTGTTTATGAAGCCTTGGGAAGATGTCAGCTATATTGAAGAACCATTACATGATTCGACTAGTTTTTTCAACATGTATACGTACCAAAGAACCCATCAATGAGCGTGTGTAGAGGTGGCGTCAGCATCTGCTGCACTTCATCCAGCAAGTCTACTGTTGCTAGACATTTGTCGTAGAGGCTTTTGTCCTCTTTTGGAAGAATCGATCCGCTGTGATGAGCGGCGAAAATACTACGAATGCGATCACCATGCTTTTCTTTGAGGGAGGCTTTTGATTTCTGCAGCAATGAGATCAGATTGTCGAGTTCGTTGTCCATGTTGAATCGCGAATGGCCCCAATAAGATACTGACTGTAACGAAACAGCAGAGGATGAGCAACAATGAAAACTGTATCTATTATTTGAATCTTAGAACGTTGCCAAAATTATCTTATCGTACAGAGGTCTCACACCATTTATGCCATGGGCCGGGGTTTATCCCAACTTCCCCTTCTGAGCCGCAGCCTGAACACGGTCGGGTGGAATCACGAGGTCTCGTGAGTAAGCTCGGGAGTAAATGACCAATTCGGACAGTATTTGTTGCGAAGATAACGTGATGTGTATCGAGTCCAAGAATGGGTCTTGTATGCCACATGTTGTCAAAGGCTATCTCTCGAGAACTATTAACGCTGTATCCGTACACATTTTTGCACCAGTTCATCATTATTTTCTCCACATAACTCTGCATATCCTTACCTCGGCATGGAGTCTATTGTCTACGAAACGCAACCTCTCCTCAGGGGTATGGTAGTTGGAACTATCATGCTGCTCTGCTACCGATATGGACTTGCGCTCTCGATTCTCCAAGTAAAACATCCACTTGCAATGATAAATTTTGTTCAAAGCTTGCTGATACAAATGAAGCTATACTTGAACTTTATGTACCGCATCACCAATGAGAAAGGGAAACCGCTACGTGGCCCAGAGTTCAGCTGGCCCGATGGCCAAACCGTTGAGAAGTTCCTGCAAGGAGGTCAGAAAAGCTTCTCATGGCAGGCATACGGTCCCTTGTATCGTATCTGGACAGTGTTTCGACCTGAAGTGTACGTGCGATCATTATTTCCATGCATAGACTCGTTGCTGATGATTGGTGATATTTCCAGGGTCATTACGCGACCAGAGGATGTCAAAGCATTCTTCTTCGACTCGCATACCCACCAAAAGGCGGCCTCGAGTAACGCCGGCTGGCTCTTCTCACAAATCCTGGGAGACTGCCTTGGTCTGATCAATGGCGAGCGATGGTCCCGAGTGCGCCATGCATTCGACCCCTTTTTCACACGCAAGATCTCAGCACAACGACTACCTCACATCATGGCGGCTGGAGAAGGCTATGTAAACGAGGTACATCAATACGATCTTGGAGGAAAACAGGCTGCTTCAACAATCAATCTAAACGCAGTCGATGCTTTTCAGAGATTTCCCTTCTTCTATGTGGCGGAAATCATCTACGGTCCACTGGGAATTACTGAACGCGTAGAATTATGGAAGTTGGCAGAAACTCACACGAATATCTTCAGACGCCTGGTCCAAGGCGGAATCCATCGGTACAAGGCAACAAAGTTTCTATCCACATCGGCGTACAAGGAGACTGCACATTTTGTCGCAGCATGGCGCCAGTTCACCCTAGAGCTGGCACAGAAACAACTTCGCGAGGGGCGGACATCACCATTGACGGATTTGATGGCCGAAGTAGAAGATGGCAAGGTAACCTTGAACGAGGTATGTAGCAGTACCAAGCAAGCAGGTGTAACCTTACAATCTTATTACCTGTGCTAACTCCTCTGTAAAATACAAGGTCCTCCACACGATCGACGAATCTCTTTTTGCAAACTTGGACGTCACGACCCATGTATTGACATGGGCTATCGTACTATTGGGCAACCACCCCGATGTCCAGGAATTGGTGCGCTCCGAAATCAAAGCAAACACAAATGACCTCGAGACATACATGAATCGGAAGGACACGCTTCTACATTATTCACTTCTTGAAAGTCTGCGCGTGCGTCCTCTACTAGGTTAGACCTCGACGACTTACAAGTATTGAATGTTTTGACTGATTTCTTAAAGCTTTTACGATACCGGAAAGTGCCCAGGAAGACAAGGTTCTGAGCGGCTACAGGGTGCCCAAGAACGTGAGCCTTGCCTGTCTACCCAAAATCAGCAGCATGGCTAACTAGAGTGTGTAGACAGACGTAGTTGTTGACGTCAATGCATTACACCTGCGTAATCCGTTCTGGGGCGCAGACCGAATGCAATACCGACCACAAAGGTTTCAAGTCCTCAGCAAAGCAGAAGTAAACTCCGCACTCACAGTCCTTGAAACAACGATACAGGATTGACACATTATTTAGATACGGTACAACCTTTCGACTTTTGGCTTTGGCCCGAGGAAATGTCTCGGCCAACACATGGCGGAGAATATGATCAAGGCTATCCTTGTGCCTCTGCTGAGGCAGTTCCGGTTTAAGCTACTAGCGGATCAGTATAAGAATGGGGAGTATAAGGTCGATAAGACGAATTGGGTAACCTTGTCCGATGTCAATCTCGAGATGGAAAGGATTCCGTCAGGAGGCTCGTAGGCGGCATTTTGAAGCCATGATGATGACTCGAGTATATTCAAAGAGCACGGTCAAGGATTAGGCGTTGTATATCTACATTCATATTTTCTTTTGTTCTTTTGCTACCCGATGTGAAATGAAATATTGAAATGACAGTCCCATCCCGCTTTTGAAAGTCAGGAATCGCTGGTAGGGTATATTGTACCTCGTGCTGCTTCTTGATGTGGTGCAATGTAAAGCAGCACATTTACTGAACCAGATCCGGAAGGAAATTTCGTATTGCACTGTGAAGTTGTTCATTCCACGGTGCTGGATCACCATAGAGATTCAGCCGTCTTCGATACATGTTGTTGACTTACTTTACTGACTTGATGAACAGAAACGCTGGTGAGAGAGTCTCCTACAAGATTGGTTGCTGGGTTGTAAAGGTGGCTCACACGGTCTCTCTAAATGCGCAATAGCTTCATTTTGGTACCTTACAAAGTGGAATACTCTTTCTCATGCTATGGTCTTCATGCGTTGCACATGGTAGTTATTGCTATGGGTGATGCACACAGTCGCTTTACATAGTGTCATGTGTGATAAGCAATTCATCATTTATGCTACCTAATCATGACCGAAGGTCTGAACTTGAGATAATGCTTTCTGAACTGAGGGCCTTGCCAACATCTTCTCACTCCATGCTTGAAGATTGGGCCAGTCACCTAATCTTAGCCCTGCCTTCAGCGCGAGCTCCTCGGTCACAAAGGGCAAGTTTGCCACATCTGCAATTGTCGGTCTGTCAGGTAGAGCAATGTATTTCTGGCCCTTCTCCGAGAGTCGACGTTCCAGGATATCGTACTGAACTTTGATGTTATTTGCTAACCTTTGCGGCGAACATGTACGTCAGCATTGCCCGTCATATAACACGCGTACAAACCGGGTGGAGCGGAAAAATCTTACTTCTCGATGACTGCAGGAATCTTCTCGGGATGGATAGCGCTAAAATATAACCAGTATTTCCCCGTGGCCCTGAAAGGTTAGCATGTCGCTGCTACAGTCCAGAGAATATTCATACCCGAGTGCGGCTGTGTGCAAGGTCAACCAGTTGTTGACTTGAGTTCTTTCCCAAAGATCAGATCCCTTCCATAAACCCTCGTGATCATAGGCGTCTGTCAGATATGTCAAGCAAGAGGTGCTTTCCCATATGTTGAGGCGCTTCCCGTCGCGTGTTTCCGCCGATTCTATTGCGGGCACCATCTTGTGCGGGTTGATTTGGTGGAACCATTCATCTCTAGTGGGACTTGGTACCACGTAGATTTCGTGATCAATGGAAAGCTCATTCATCACTATCAACGGTTTTACCGTATTTGCGGTAGACGTTGGAGTGGCTGAGGAATCAGTCATGTCACACTACTGGGATATCCAAAACGTACCCTTGACCACATAAAGCACAAGCTTGTCTTCTGGAATATCCTTGGGTCTTTCAGTCATCGTAAATCTGTGTATACAACGATTGTTTACATTCTCCATCTACAGTATATATATTCTAAGGTTTCGGTAACTATCGGGGATTTCTTGGCAACGCCGATATTCACCGATTTCTTCTTTGCACTTACAATCTAGTCGGTAACAATGTCAGACTCAATTTGAAAAGATAGCTATAGGAGAAAGATCGGGTCTCTGTAGTGAACTGTACTTGGCAATCTGCAAGGGCTACTCTACAGCGCCTGCAATCAGCTCGGCTGTTTGCAAGTGGATGATTGAACTAAGAGAGACCGATACACCGGATTTTATGAGCCTGTCCTGTAGCCTCAGGCAGTCGACCGATGATCCACCAAGTTCGAAAAAGGACCGAGAGCAGCTTATGTCACAGCGGTTCAGCCCAACACATTCGGCCATTGCTTCACGCACGAGATCTATCATTTCCTGGTCCTCGCTGATAGGAGCAACAGTGTTTGTATCTTTTTGACTCCAAATCAGAGGGAACAAACGGGGAGGATAGGTCGTGCATGTGCTGGAGCATGTTTCATCGGCCAAGTATCGGAACGCAGCCATCAGTTGAACTTCGAATTCATCCATCGTGGCGTTGTCAATGGCGTGCGAATCGTAAGCCAAGTCGATCCCGATACTTTCGGGGAACTCAGAAAATTCTAGCATTAGCGGGAATTTGACGCCTTTTGGTTGGACTGGAATTCCCAACGCATCAACTCCTGTGAGATTTGGACCCTGCAGATCTGATGCGTGGTATGTGACCATTATCTCGCACAATGAATGTGACTTCCCAACCATCCCGAGTACGTTCTTGAGATCTGCAAAAGGGATGTAATTTGCCATAGCTTGTTCACTAGCCGATTTCACCATGTGAATGAGGTCGTCAGCCGAATGGGGTGAATGAAGATTGAATCTCAAGGGAATGAGTAGCCTGTCAAGAAAGAGGCCAAACATGTTCTCGGTTCCTGCCTCTGTCCTATCCTCGATGGGAGCCGCAATAATAAAGTCCTCTCGGTGACTCAATCGATGTAATGTCAGGCCGACAGCAGCTATCGCTAATTGATGACCACTTGCTTTGAATCTGCCGCGAAGATTTTTGAGCGACGAGAAAAGATCACCTTCAATCCGTTTATCGCGGTGAGCGCTACACGCCAGTTCTTGTTTGAATGTCCCGAAGAGAGGTGGATTTATGAGTGATGGGTTGAGACTCTTTTGCAAAACATGAGTGAGGCCGGCGTCAACTTCGCGCTTTCGTCGCATTGCTGTCCATACGGAATAAGGAAGAGACTCGGAAAGAGGTTCATGGAGGTTGAAATTGTCATTCAAGATCATTTGTGCGTATTCCTCTTCAAGTAGGCGCAATATTTCTCCCATAGTAGATCTGTCCCCGATCATATGAGACATGTTAAGAACAACATAACTCATTGTCGGCCGATCCAGACACAGGTCCAGGCGGATCGGCTGATCGTTGGCCAAGTCAAAGGCTCGATTGACGATGTCAAGAAGCGCGTCATCTGTAACCTTACAGTATCGTCTGGTTACTGGTGATATAGAAGTTGATATCGATCTCGTGAGGATTCCATCTTTTATTTGATATCTGGCTCGCAGTATCGAATTTGAGCGTATAATATTGTTCCAGCTAGCCTCAAAAGCGGCGAGATTCAATGGACCAGTGAGGCGTGCAATGTAGGGAATGTTCCACGCCGACGGCTCCGATGAGAGCATATGAACAGTGTACATTTCTTCCTCGAGGTGTGAAAGAACAGTATTTTGCTCCGGTTGACCACGGGAAATATCCTCAGAACCACCATCCAGGATGTGCTTATCGATGGCCAAAGCTAAGTCTCGGAGAACAGGATTCTGTATCACTATTCGCAGTGGAATCCGGTTTCCTAGAGCCATGCCCAATTGTCGAGTAAGTCTTGCTTGTAATAGAGAGTGGCCGCCTATCTGGAGAAAATTGTCCAAGGCACTCACTTCACCAAGTTCCGGGATGAGATCCTTCCATATCTCTTGGATAATCCTTTCCGTGGTACCTTCGATCGGTACTTTTGTAAAGTGGTTGCGCTCAGCCTTCATCGAGACAAGTTTCTTTCGGTCGATCTTCTGGTTTGAGCTCATGGGCATATTGTCAAGTGCGACAAAATAGGAAGGCCGACAGTAGCTAGGGAGATGCCTGGAAATGATAGCTTGAATGGCCAGAGTGTCCAGCGAACTTGGGGTGACAAACCCGATCAAGACATCATTCACAACGATGACAGCGGCTTGACGGACTTCTGGATTTAGAGCGGCGATTGTCGATTCGATTTCCTCGAGTTCAATTCTAAAGCCACGTACCTTCACCTGGTTATCGATGCGACCTATGTATTCGATCTCATGCGAATTTGTTAGCCGTCCAAGATCTCCCGATCGATACAGTCTCCATCCCTTCTGAAATGGATTGGGCAAGAATTTTACTAGTGTTTCTTCCGGTCGGTTAAGATAGCCCCTGGTAACTTGGATCCCGGAGATACAAATCTCGCCTGGAACACCGACTGGAACAGGGTTCAGATCCTTGTCCAGGATGTAGATTGCCTGTCTGGGTACCGGAGAACCGAGGGTCACTTGTACACCAGGGTATAACTGGGGATAGACAGTTGAGATAGTGCACTAAGTTAACGCGGACATTAGCTCACTTGTAATGTTACGATCAAGGAGTAAAATACCTCTGATGGTGAATACACGTTGAGTAGAACCCGATTGTGCCCCCATGTATCGACCAACTTCTGGGGAACTGGTTCGCCAGCTAGCGCAATCTAATACGATCAATGACGTCCAAGCACAGGATCAGGTCATCGTTGCCGCAATCATGATGTACTTACCAATTCTAAATTAGGAAAGTCATTGACGTCTAGAGTGGCCAGGAACGAAGGAGTGCACATCGTGGCATGCACCCTTTTGATATGCTGTACCGGATCTAGCGGGTCGCGGAGTACCAGGGTTGCCCCATAACAAAGAGTTGCGAAGACCTCATTGACACAGCAGTCAAATCCTACAACATAAGACTCAGCTGGTATATATGGTAAGCTTTAATCTCGTATATACTTACCTAAAGACAGAAATTGCGCATTCCTTCGCCCGGGACCAGAACGCAACCTGGCATTTGGAAAGTCGAGCAGGGAGAGGATGCCAATGTGTTCAAGCAGGATTCCTTCGTACGTCATTGATATTTTCAGTCAATGGACTTCAGAGAATTACAATTACATACCTTTTGGCACGCCGGTGCTTCCCGATGTAAAGATGACAGCGGCTGGATCATGAGGCGAACATCTTTCTGGTAACCTTTCTGGGGTTTGTAGGGTTTCAGACAACAGTCTTCCGATTGAGAAGCAGGTCAGGTCACTGTGGTTCGCCCAAAGCTCACACAAATCCTCTGTTGTACATAGCAAGAGAGAGCACCGACTTTCTCGTAACATGACTTTGATACGTTCTTCTGGCAACGCAATATCGATGGGGCAATATGCAGCTCCAGCTTTGAGTACGGCCAGGATTGCTGTGATCCAACTTACCGACCCGTCACTGAGGATCCCAACAATCTGGCCCGGACCTACCAATGGGAGTAGAGCATTTGATATGGCGCTACTTCTGTGGTCCAGCTCCTTGTAAGAAATTGAATCAGAAACACTTTCTACCGCGATTGCATCAGGCCAAGTATCGACGACCTCTTCGAAAGCCTGTTTTAGACTCTGAGGTCCGTCATATGCGTCGTGCATATGAGGAGAGGAATAAAGTAAGTCATTGATTTCCAGTTGGTTCATCATAGAGGACTTGACTAATTCGACTGTGGGATGCATAAGTATCGCCTTGAGCATGTTGCTGAAGTGGCTCAGCATTTGGTCAATCATTGCAGCTTCGAAGTGAGAACAATCGTAGAGATACCGAGCCTCAAGGTCGCCTCCATTCTGCATATCTATAAGAATGTGAAGGGGCAGCTCCGTGGTTTCGTTGTGTTTCATTGATTGCGGTGAGGGCCAGGTTTTAGGGTCTACGTTCCAGGTCGAGTCTGGCAGGTCGTACTGCAACGCAACCAAGGTCTCCAACGATTCCGGCCCCATGCTTGATTTTTGGAGTTTCATCTCCCAAGGGGATTCGTTCATTTCATGAAGTGTGCCATGTATTGTACGCAAGAATTCGGCTGTGCTTTGTGTGGATGTCGTATTCACTGGGAATGGCACAGTATCCAGCAGTGGTCCGACAACTTGATCCACGGCTGCCATTGGAAGATTTCGTCCTGATAGGACGACACCAAACAGGACACGATCTGTGCTCAGATATTTGGAAAGAACCAGTGCCCAAGATGCAAGGAAAATTGAAGCATCAGATACTCTGTATTCTTGCACGAATCGCTGGACTTGACTTCGATGCACGCCCAGAAGTTGACGTCTTTCAGCTCGAGCTGCTCTTGCCCAACCCTGTGGCTTTGGTAATCTGAGTCTTGGTGCCGGGATATAATTTTGCATCTTTTCTTCCCAGGACTGCTGCTTCCCGCGAGACAGACTTCGTTGGGCAAGTGCTTTTTGGACAGTGGCGACTGACGTGAACTGAGCCACCTTTGGCAGCTCTTCTTGAGATAGGATGCACTGCAAATCCCGCATAATAACAGCGATCGACCAACCATCTACAAGACTGTGATGAATCGTCCAAATGAATTCTGTTCGTGATTTAGGTTCGGTTATGAGTCTGAATATGCTGCGGGGCTTCAAATACTCGGCGTCTAGGGGCGCCATGGAACACAGTATCTTTTCTCGTGCGTCAGCGACAGCGGAGTCCCACTCCGAACTGTCAACCAACTGTTCCCTCCAGTCCATAGTTGGATCCGCTGCTATCACTGTAGCTTCTAAAGCAGGTATGAAAGTCGCGCGAAGAATGGAGTGTCTCTGAACAATAATTTCCCATGCGCGTCGGAAAACTTCGGGTTTGAACAATCCTGACGACAAGTCGAACGTTATTGAAAGCTGAATGTAGTTCATGGATGGCATCTTTATTGTTGATTGGATCATGTTGACTTGAATTGCAGTCATATATGCCACCTCCATTCGAGGTGTGAGTGGGTAACCGGCGCGGACGACATTTTCTCGAAGACTTTCCAGATCTGCTTCCTCCGAGTCGCTAGTTGACAGTATTGTGGCGGATAAAGTATCACAGATACGCTGCGCAGTATCCGATTCGAAAATTTCACGGACTGTTATCGATAGGCCACGTTCTCGTAAATGAGAAGCAAGGCTTACGGCCGATAAAGAGTTGCCTCCGTTGTCTAAGAATGAGGAGCTGCCGCATAAAGCAGACGGTGGTAACCCCAAAACTTTGCTGAACCCCTCCAGAACCACATAGAGATTAGATGAAGGGCTAGACTGATGTGTTGCAACTCCTGTAAATTTCTCCTCTTGCAAAAGTTGACGGAGTGATGCCAGGTCCACCTTTCCATTCGATGTTATTGGGAATGAACAGATCGCATATATTCTATCCGGCACGAGGAAAGAATCCCTGATTTCCAAGAGGCGAGAGCGCAACGAAGAAACGTCTATAGTTTCCGGAGTGACGAACATAATGAGCCGACCTTCGTGCATGAGAGCTGCAGCAGAATTGGCTAACTTCATATTAGTAATTACAGCCTCCACTTCAGCTTCAAGGTTAATAAGAAACCCTCGGTTCTTGACCACACGATCCTTTCGGCCTAGGAAGTCGATACCAAAGGATGTTTTTCGACCGTAGTCCCCTGTCAAATAGTGGCGCACACCTTTATAGACAATGAACTTCTCGGCCGTCAATGCCTGGTTGTTGAAGTAACCCACCGCTAGGCCAGGCCCACTGATAGCTATCTCGCCTTCGGAAACCTCCCTCAGGTTGCCATCCAGCAACACTACGGAGGATCCCGCAACAGTATAACGCAGGTGATTTGGCTCGTCCGGCAATACCTCCTTAATGAGTGACGTACATGTCGTTTCCGTAGGACCGTAGCAATTGAATATACGTCTCTCACCGTTGAGCCAAGGTCGAAGCAAGTTTGGCGATGGACTTTCCCCACCAAGGAATATTGACTTTATCGAATCGTACTCAGCTCCTGGTCTCAGAGTTGAAAGGATAGTGGGCGTTAATGGCAGTATAGTGCATGTTGTAGCCACAGTTGCAAAATTCATTGACGTAGCCAAAATCAGCGTACCGCCGTTGCAAATTGTGGACAGCACGACACCAAGGCAAGCTTGAACAAGTTAGCCTTTTTGCTCTTGGGAAACCCATGGGCACACTCAACGTACCGTCAAATGCTACTGAGAAGACCAGCAGTACTCTGCTCGACGCTTGAACGTTCAGGTTGAAGGGTGCTTCGTCACTGACTTGCTGAACGTAATGAGCGATGGCACTGTGGGGAACCATGACCCCCTTGGGCTTTGAGGTAGTTCCAGAAGTGAAGATTGTGTAAGCCAAATCGTCTGCTGAGGGCAGTTGAAATCCACGGGTTGAGAAAGAAGCTGGCTGATCCCTTCTATTGTCCAGTACGTGCTGAAGGTCACCTTCCTGGAACAAAATGAGTTCCTGATTAGGTATCTCAATACATTTGGTAGATATGGCATATCGACACTGCGTTGTCTCTAAAGTCGTCTGAATGCGATCTTGGCTCCAGGTCTCAAAGTCTATTGGAACGACGCAAGCGCCGCTCTTCATGATTCCAAGCAAAGCCACGATCATCTCCAAGGAGCGATTCGAAATTATTACAATCTTTTGGCCTGATTGGATGCCAATCTGACTAAGGTGATTTGCAAGATGATTTGAAGCGTAGTGAAGCTCTCCATAGGTGATATTTCGTCCTCCATCTTCGGCAGCTACAGATTCGGGGAATTGGCTGGCGATGCGTTCGAAAATGTGGCAAACTGTAGCATCGGTGCCGTTTCTACAACCTGAGGATTGAGACATGGGAAAATCGCGTCGTGATTCAGGGCTGTGGTCATCTCCAGTGAGGCCTTCCAAAGATCGATGAAAAATAGTGTCAATGTCCTTGGTAATGTGCATGATAGCACTCGCAAAAAATGTTTGTTCGACTGTTGAGCGTGACAGGGTATCATGCTAATGAATGAACTAACAGTAAGCAACGTGATCATAGTCGCCTTTCGGGTTGTCGTTCCTAAATTTGATCCTCGGGAGCCGATCCAAAATCAGCACCACTTGTACAGTTCTTAGCTTGAAGCATTCCTGACTTTACACAATTTTTTGTGCATCTAGATTTCTGTCATTGGTGGAGCAATTCGTTTTATCACTGCAATGGTGTCGGTATGAGGACCTTGTAAAATCAATGAAAATATGTGCCTACACATTTTGAATCTACATTATCGTCCAACAGCCATTTACGATCTGTGAGCACATGGTCTGGCCCTTTTCCGAAATTCAGTCCAGTTGGTCACGTGGAGAACAGGCATTGCAGTGCACCAAGTTTTATAGATTCTCGACGTGCA